CCATACGGAATTCGATAGCGAAATTTCCATTGAAAAAGCTATAGACAACTATAGGGGAGACCATAGGGAAAGCTATAGACAGCCATAGAAACGGCTATAGCTAATTGGGCCAATTTGCTATAGCCGGCCATACAAAGGATTTTCTATAGCCGACCATAGACCATTTTTGTATGGGTGTCCAAGCAACTCGTAAAACAACTTGTGTAAATATGCTGTTTTGCCGACTAGTGTGCAAAACGAGTTCGTCAGACCACTTTCGACACATCCACATATATTTCCGTTCACTTCAACAATTAAAGTAATATTCACTTGCTTGATGCGTCGCACTGCAGTAATTCACCTCTGTCGCCGTGTCGGTGTCGCTTCCCAAGATCTCGAAAGGAAGCGGTAAAGTTTGACGCTTGAGTCACCTTCGTGACTGTGGCAGTAAAGTCACGCAGCAGTAGCGACGTTCATTTTTTGGGGGGAACTCTAAGAGTAGGCGAGATATCACACGAACCCGGTGAGGTCATAGAGACGTAAAGTTTAGACTTACTTTTATTAAAAACGGTTCCAAAAAAGCTCACGCCGATTCGAAATGCAACGTTCACACGTGGTTTCTGGGTGCGTCCGCCCCCAGCCCCCGCGACCCGCGCAGGCCTGGCCTACCCAGTTTCTTTATTTTGCAGCCGCTAGATGGCGCATCGTGTAGCGCCAAACTGCATTGCAGGTTGCCTATAGCGTTCTACACGGACTGATGAGCTTCCACCACGCCGACCACGTCGATCATCACCACCGACCTCACGTTTTTCAGCAAACAGGCGGCTATGCGCAGGCGCAGTGTGATCGAGCTGTCACTTCGCTTACCACATGATAGATGGCGCGCATAGCTCCGAGCATTCAGTGCGAGCCTTTATAACTTCGGCAATTCCCGTCACATCGCTAATCATTCAACAAAATGTGTATCTGAATATTATTTAACAAAACTTGTAGGAAACATTCGCCGGCTATTTATTGTTTACGATCGCGGTGCTGGTGAGGTAGGCTCTTACCCAATAGGCGACGTGGATTCGGCTGACGTGCTCCGTTTCCGCGGATGCATCGTAGTGAAAAGGAAGAGAGCTTTCGAAGGAAAGAATGTGTAAAAGAGTCCGCTTTTCTTTTAAAAGTTCTATAGCGAACTTTTTTTTTCTGCTGTCTATTTTTGTGTTTTGGTTTTCTTTTCCTACTTTTTACGAAGTGCAGTGGATGAAATTTTATTTCAAAATCGTTTCATGGTCCCTTTAAAAGCAGTGCCGTTCTGCGAAGGTACGGCGGCAAGCTGCGTGCGCGCCAGCCCTGTAAAACCGCAATACCCTTCTCTCCCGGCCTATTCAACTCCTCTGGACAGCGGGAAGAGGCAACTAAAACGGCCAGGTTATACCGCGTTGACAACACTAACTGGTGGAACTCATAACCACGCTAGCTCCCAAGCAGCTTGGCATGTGCTCTGCCAATTGATATCACTTCTCCCGTGATGCATCGCGCTCTCCGATGATGATCTTCGAGCGCTCACTGGAATCGGTCCTTTGGAACGAAAGGTAGACCCATCTTTTCGAAGTGCAAGCGTGCGATTGTGATTAGCAGATACAGTTGATTATGTTTTCCTTAGTTCTGAACATGAGAGGTATATTTGAAGTTTTGATTCAGTGTCCCTTTAAACACGAAGACATATCCAGGGTGCGAATAGAAAATTTTAGATAATAGCCTGGATCATGTAATGAAAATACATCTTTCCCGTTCAGAAAACACACGTTCTTGATAACCGCACTTCAAAGCGAGTCTGACCAACATGTGCATGTGTGTAACACAAAAATAACCTTGCAGAAGCATAACCATTAAAACCCGCAGTTCACCCAAGAAAATGTTATGAACAATGTCTTCATGTTGTTACACATAGCCGAAAGTCAATTCACAAATTTATGACAAAAATGACATGTGCAGCGCCAGTGTGTGTGCGAGCTAAAACTTCGAAAAAGTAGGCTTGAAAGGGCGCTCAAGTGCTTTTCGTAGAAACTTGATTTTTGATGGCATCTTGTTTGTTGGGATTTAGTCAATAAAAATTATCAGTGCTAGATGGCAAGACGTTCCAGTAAACTGAAAGCAATAGAAATACAAGTGGACTATTTTCTTTTTGGTGAAAGCGGGAGAGGGGGGGGGGGGAGCATTCTCGGGTCCCTATTACCTTCTTAAAATTTGACCAATGAAAATAGTAACTTGCGTCGAGGTTCCGAAGCCGATTCATCGCTGTATAATTAGCGGCAGACAAATAATGTGACAGTGTTAAGATGAACTTCAAGGGTTCTCTTTGAATTACGGAAGTTCCAGTCGTGTATGTTATGTACTTGAATTTTCCCCAGAGGCTAGAGCACAGGAAATTAGCTGTGTAAAGTGCCGGTAACAAAAATTTTATTTTCATCCGGATTAATTCAACTTTTTTTTTTTTTCAGAAATGTTAACGAAATTCTGAAAGCTACGGCAAACAAGTCTTCCTTCGATTCAACGATGTTAGCGAGTAAGCCGGTAAAAGTTGGGTTTATATCTGTTAGCTGAGAACTTGCCGTAAAAATAGGATTTTCAAATATTTCGTGCGTATTTCTATAAAAATTATTTTGTATCAGCGCCATACCTTACTCAAGATGATACATGAAATACCCCAAAGCATTGCTTCAAAAAGTTGAAGTTTCGCGAATTTTATTTTTGCAAATAGAATGTTTGCGAAAACACCAAACCGCAGCATAAATAAACTAAAAATATTTGAGAGCCAGTACTCTGCCAGAGTGTACCTCTAGTACCAAAAACAAAATTTGCTTACTAGTTGTTCTTACTTTGCAAGAACATATTGTGCTCACTACGCCAGGTACAAGAGCCGCCAATTATCTGTCAGAAAAATCTAAAGAAAATTGCGACTGTCTTCTGAAAAAAGATTGGCGCCTACCAGAGAAGAATAACGCCTAATGCGAATAACAAACAATTTTCTTGTTGACACCACGCCCAGATCGGCAGGAAATGAAAAAAAAAATTAATTAAAAATAATGCAAGAACAGACTGAGTCATGTGTCACAGGTACTTGTATAAAAGGCCAGCCTGAATATTTTTATAAAAAAAAAAAGATCCTGCTTGTTTGATACTTTTGTTATACATTTCAGTTCGTGTGTTCATTTTTACAGACATTGGAGATAGGCAAGCGGCAACTTATCTTAAGCTTCAGCATGATATCAACGATATGAGAAGATTTTTGGCACATCATATTGGAAATGTGAAGAATGTCCGAGCAGCTGCTTCCAAGTCAAAAGAGTTTCTAAGGTACTTATTAAAAACAGTATTTCTTCCTCTTATACCTGGCAAGAAGCACATTTCTGTAAAAGCGCACTGGTGGCAGTCGACGGGTTCGTGGCTATCAAAAACATTTTAAAATTAGATGTTTTTTTAATAATTTAATAAATTACACTTAGGAAATTACCCGCCTGACCCAAGAATGAGGCTGGCTGTTTAGCACACCTCATTACAACTTCGCATCTGGTCACAGCACTCCCGCTAACATTGCGCCCTGCGCTGTTACTCAGCAAATGTTATGGTCCGTTGAATTAAGTTGGCCAGTTTTGCAGTTCCTAGTATGTTTTTGGTGCATGTTACTCAGAAATTTATTATAAATAATTAGTTTGTTCTCAGTGCCAATTGGTGGGGAATATCTTAACCTAATTTGACCCAGACCGTGCAAACTCCCAACATGCACGTTTTGTTGTCCGTCACAGGCAAGGATAATCATGTATTTTGTGAAGCCAAACATCGGCAAAATTAAACATCTCTCTGACATACCAACTGGGGGAAGACGACAAAATATTAATATCAACAAAGAAAACTTAGCTGGAGGAGCAAACAAAACGTCCCGTCACTTTTTTAACCTGTGATTTTTACGAAATGTATAGTTGCCGGATAAAAACTTGTAGCTGAAAAATCTTTGCGTGTAAGTTTTACGCTCTTTTAGGTATATTTTTGCTACTTATCTTTACTCTCGATGATCATAGCGAGATGTTAGGTTACAAGGAAAAAGAGAAGTCCGATTTGCCCGAGTTATAGGCCGTTAAGAACAGCAAAGAACCAATCACAAGAATAGAAGCGTGAGCATAGAACGCCATGCCCTGCATTTATGAAGCCGCCAGTGTGGCTACATAGTATATGCAAACATAATAAATGTCCTAAATAAAATGTACTCCCTACAGGAGTGGTGAAAAAAATTGCTTTCATGTTTAGGGTCATTCAAAACGACATAGAGGTCCTGAAGCAATTGGATGGAGTGAATGACAATGTGTCTGCAAAGATGGCGGCTCTTCAAAGCTACGTTCAGCGAACGATTTCGAATATTCAGGTAATACATGACCTCTCGAAACTTTTATAGAACATAAACCGCTTCACACATGTTGACCATTTAACAATTAGAGACCAAATTTGTACAAGGCGGAGGATTACCTCGCTACTACAGTTAACCCAGCATAGAACCCTTGTGCGTAATTTTGAACCTAAATATATATTTTTAGTTGCGGATATAATATATATGTTGTCGTTGTTCGCGTTTTACCTTAGAGAATATTATAAATTAAAGCAATCCTATTACTACGTAGAGTTTACCATATGTATTGACTGCTTTGTTTGGTTTTCCTGGCTTATGGTAATTAAAACTTATGTAGAACAATACTTATGCAGTTACGTAAACAATCGGCGGAAAATGGACGCTAGGACCGACTAATGAAGAACATCTGGCATTCCCCGAGCAGAAGGCTGAGCAGTATGTGTAGTCCCACAGTAAACCTATGAGAATATATAAGAGCATAATCACTAATGATTGCCCTATATAATAAATATAAATTCTGATGTGTTCATAGAGATATAAAATATAATTATTTATGCTTTTCAGTAAAGACAGCAACAATGACAATGAATACAGACTGTTGGGCTGTGACGTTTTGTTTTTCCTCCGCCAGAATCCCAGTAATTGCACAGCGGCACCAAAGGTTTTCTGTCGGCTCAATAATCCGTACGGACTGGCGGCTGCTGTGCACGACCTTCTTTCTTGCTTCGTGGCGGCCCTACGAACAGGAAAGACGCTCATCTTGGACAGCACCAAGTGGAAATACGCTCCCGGGCAGGACTGGGTGAAGTCGTTTCTTCCGGTCACAGGGTCAGCGTGCGCGAGCGTTCGTACCCCCGACAAAGGAGCGGAGATCTACGTGTTTCCGGGTGCGTGTCAGGGGTCCTGTTTTTATTGTTTTCCAAATTTTAGGGAATATTTTCTAATACTTATTTTCCAAATTCAAACTTCGAAAAATTAATAAAAAAGAAAAGAAAGACGTTTACAACTCCCTGTAATGAAGAATTAGAGCGCAGCTCTTGAGGAGGAGTGGGGGTTGCGGTATACCCCTCCTCGTCAGCCAACGCTTGTTGTGTTATTTATCTTGGTCCCTTTCGGTGGGAATTTCTAATAGCAGACGCGAATCCTTAATTTACTAAAAAAAAAAAGACATGTGTGCACTAATGTTCAGACACAATTATCTCTTTATTTGTAATTTAATTTGAATAAATAAGCAATCCGATCCAATCCAATCCTTCCGTCGAGGCCGCCGTCACATTGCTTGCGGGGCCTGTCCGGACGCCCTGCCGTCGCGTGTCCGCCCCGGCGTGCTCCCGTCACGGTGCCGGGGCCCGGGATGGGAGAGGCGCCGCGCGGCGACGGCGACACCGACGCCGCTCAAGCCGGGAACGGCCGCCAATAGGGAGTTCCAGAATAGCGCACGCTAAAGCTTTGCGTACGCAAAAGAATAGCGTCGTCGCCACTGCGCATGCTCCGAACGCAAACCAGGTTCTGCGCTTTGCGTGCGCAATTTTAGCGAGCGCTATTTCTCGGAAATAGCGTGCGTACGCAAAGAGTCTTTGCGCTTTGCCAAGTAGGATTCGTAATGAGAAGTGGGCTAAAGCCAAGACGAGCAGAGTGAAAAAATGGCGGCTTCCGGGATTATTTCGGCGGCTGCTTCGGCGGCGTCGTGAGTGCGACGTCGGCGGCATCCTCGCGACTGCGATTTTCAATACGGGACGGCATTGTACGCGGTTTGGCAACGATCACTGGCAATTTAATGCTTGCGACGCGCGAACATTTCTCGGCGAAGGTACGATGTGCAAAGGTCAGTACACGAGACCTCTCTTGTCGAGGCGACGCAAGCGGACACGACCGGTCAACCGCTCGCGTCGCATTTTCACGTTTAAACAAATCTAACATAATACTCTGGACCAAAAAACTTGTTTGTTCTCAAGTTACAGAATTTCGTGGGTGAAATAAAAATTGTGACTGTATCTTGGTGGCGTCGCAAGCGCGAGATGGTTGGGCTTTTACGTCGCGACGGAGAAACGCTATTCTAAAACTCTCTCGCGTCGCGTGCGCTAATACAAGCGCTAAATTTAGCGCTAGCGTGCGCTAAAAGTCCGTACGTTATTCTAAAACTCCCTAATGCCTCGTTCACACTTGTGAACCGGCGGCCGGACCGGCGGGAATTCTGACGCCCGGACACGAAAGCAGACAGAATTTCCGGCGGAGAGCAAGATCGCTCTGGGGGACCAATTTTGAACGCCGGAAAAAAAGCTTTTTCTCGCCGCTAGCCAATCAGAACGCATGGGGGATGTGGCGCTTGCTGACGTCCGATCCCCGCTGACGAACTGGCGGTGATGGCGACGAGACGCGCGCGGGCAAGGAGCAGGTTCGGGGGCTTTCGTTAGCTCCCCCCTCGTCTGTTCGGGAAACTACGAGACGCTCGCGCCGCGTACTCCGCAGGCGGTGACAAATGTGAACGGCCCGATATTTTTTCGGCGATCGAATCTAATCGGCGGCGAGTGCTTATTTCGCAAGTGTAAACGAGCCATAAGAGTTGCGCTCTAAAATTCAAATTTTGTATGCTTAGAGGTTTTTCTGTTCCATTTTAATATTTCTTAACCAGGTGGATGTCTACCGAAAGATTCGCGCTCACAGATTCGCTGCATAGTTTTGAAAACGTATAGTAATTAAAAAAAAGTGTATTGATGTGAGTAATACACCTTTTTCCAAAGTCCGCGCCAACACCTGTCCGCCATTGCTTGATCACGTGCTCTGAGCGTGTATAGGACACAAGACTTGCGTCAGCGCTCGGCGTGAACTCGGCTGAGCTCGTATTGGACACGAGCGCCGCGTCAGCGTTCGGCAAGGACTCGGATCCAAACACGCTCTTCCTGTCCTAGCAATGGCGACTGTCAATGTTGCTCGATGGACTTTTGAATATGATGTATTATTTGTAATAATGAGCCAAAAAATATATGAATTCGTTCAGTTCGTGCCAGAATAGGTTATCCATATAGTGGGGTCTCGAAATTTGCGGGCTCCGTACTTTAATGCGAAAACATTAACTGTCCCGTGGAGGGAAGCCGGTGTTGTCTGTAACCGTTTGTAACCGAAAAACGGCACCCCCTTCAGAATTCCCATTCCCGCATCGTTTTCAGAGCGATTATTACCGTACCTGTTTAGTTCATTGGTGGGGCTACCAAACGTCCGTTCGGACTAGAACTTGGTCAACTGTATATGAGGCGCGCCCTGATACCCATTCCAATCGTCAAATAGAACTTCCAAATTGGTTTCATGATCCATTTAACGGCGTTCGTCGGCATCGCGTTCGCCATTTACCGTGTCAAAGGTGTGTGTCCCATTTTTTACGGGAATAGCGCTATATCTTTAAATTTCACGAGGTAAAATCTACCACTAAATTACATCCTTGTTGAAGATTTAAGATTGCTGTGCGCAGCGCCGATTTTTGCGATCGATATTAGAGTAAATCAGAGTTTTTATAACTACCTAAAAAGCCTACACATATAGTTGTTTGTCTATTTTGTCAATTAGGAGAATTCATATATTCTTCTCAGTGCTATTATCTGACGTCAAATTGTCAAGAACCCATTAAGAGATTCGGAGTACATCTTTTTATAAGGTTTGTTCGGACTAGTCTAAATTTTTGCAATACAAAAATGGGATTCTCTAATCGTGTTTCTAAAAACATCGCGTTACTTTATTTCCCTTTTTTACCTATACCGTATACTTATATTGCAACATTCTTAAATAGTGAAACATCTGAAATGTTACCCGCTATATATATTTTTTCTGTTCTTTTTTTTTTGTATCGAAATATAATATTCGCGTCATGAATGTTACATTTCTCGCAGCTTTGGGAAATCATTAAGTTCTATTTCATTGAGGAAATAAATGATGCTTTTGAATGACGATTGAAGTCTTTAGTGACCGATGTGTATAGACGACGTACGCGATGGAAAGTTGGCAGCGTTGCTTTGAGATTGCAGTGATTTCAAGCTTCCACCGTGCAAACTCCAAATACCATCGAACTTGTTGTTCGTATGGTAATGACGTCACGAGAAAAACCATATCAGGGCGCCACCAAAACATCTCGCCGATAATAGCACGTTCAATGTTTCTTTTTTTTGTTTCGATTAAAGTCTTGTTTAATTAGACGACAGTTATTAATAGCAATTTGCGTTCGCTCCTTCTCGCATGCTTAAGTACCTGGCTTTGCTGGCTGTATCAGATACCAAACGCTGAAAATGCCCTATTTCATTTTGTAAGACGTGCAATTCATCATCTTGTGTTAGGCTTTCTTGCGAATGAAAGTAAGACATCAATATCTTAAAACAAAACAGTAGGGTGAATTTTAGCAAACCATACCAAGGTTCACTTCTTCCGGCATGCTATTTATTATCTCTAGATTCAAAACAGCTACTGATAAAACAGCAAATGAAGGTTATGCCACAACCAATTTTAAACATTTTTCCCGCTTTCCAGTGTGTGATGACGTCACCGTGTCGTAGAATTGGCAAAGTTCAAAAGGCAATCTAAAAACAAAACAAAAAAAGTATTTTTTTTTTTTTTTGCTGGCGTGAGCTTTTTCAGAATTCACATCACACCATCAGATGTCTTGTAACCGGCGGGGGCAAGCTGTGCTGCTCTTATATTGCAACATTTGCCGTCACGTTTGCAGTGTTGCTATTAGAATTTTTCAAACCACAAGAAAAATAAACAAAATCCTTTGCAAAAAAATATTATCGTGGCTTTTAATTTGGGTTGCTAAATCCAATGCGTCTATTATTGGGTTGAACCAATTTTGAGGCAAGTCAATTACTACCCAAAGTTCGCTGGAACAAACAGCCTTTAATAGGGTGTGAGCTGTGCGTGCTTCTTTTATCCAAAGGAAGGACATGGGTTTCGACTTTGCTGATCGAGTCCAGCTTACGGGGATACTGAGCCCCCCCAAAAAACATTTCTGAATTGCCCGAATAGGACACTCAGGTAACAAAATAAAATTTCTAAGAAAAAATAAACAAACAAACGAAAAAGCCCGCATATTTACGCCGCGTAACATGTTTTGAGTTAGGGGCAATTTCGAAACATGCTTCTATTTTGAGACTTCTACCCCAAAATACAAGTACGTTTCGAAATCGCTCCTAGTTCGAAATTTCACTCGAAATAAATCTGAGAAATGTTTTTTTATTCGATTTTTTTAGTAGGTTCGGTATTTAGTAACATGTACCAGTCATATCCAAAAAAACTTTAAAAGTTTTTTTTTCGTTTTTGCTACTGTTTTATTGCGAACTCCTGCGGGGTTAAAAGGATATTCTAGCGCATTAATTCTTATATTAATTCGACAGTAGATAATGAATAGAAAATATCGAATTCCAGGAAGAAGATATCGCAAACCGTTGAAGGATCTGCCGTCCGCCATTGTGGAGACCTTGGTAGCCAACAACGGGGACCCGTACGCGTGGTGGTACGGGCAGATCATGAGCTACGCCCTTCGGTTCAACAACTCAACGCTGCAGAAAATTGACAAGTTCAAGGTTGCTCGTGGCTACGAACATCCCATTGTAGGGTGAGTGACCGAAAGAGTGTTCACACGAACAAGAAAATGTTGCGAAGCTATAGCTACAAAGAAAGGTATACCGTGCCACGATTTCGGCTTGGATATTTTCTGACTTTACTCCGACATACTGGCAAGATAGTAGATTTTTACGGCACTCATAGCGAGTAATCAAAGTACTTGTAATCGATTACTTTCACAGTAACTTTGTAATAATTTGATTATCTTCGTTAGGTAGCGATCGCAAGAGTAATTTGGTTACTGGTAAAGTGGTAAAATTACTTGTAACCGTTACCATGTATTCATTCCACTCCAATTGGTGCCTCTTGTTTCCCCTGCCCTTCCTTCAAGAAATCGTCAAACCAAGTCTCCGATAAAGGGACGATCTACCAAAAAGGGTGAATTCATAAAATGGTTTATAATGAAATGGTTATTTTATTTGTTCCAACTATCAACGAATCACGAGTATGTACCGCGAGTATTATCAAAGATACCGACATTTTTCCTTAGGTCTCTCCTTTGCGAATCTGGATCGGGTTGTCGCGGGAATCGCAGTCTCTACGTTGTCATGGGGATCGGTGGCGATATTCAATTGCGGCTCATAAATATAACCCGAGCACTGCGTGAGCGAGCACTCGATTTCGTGCTCAAGTCAATACCTCGACGAGCATTCGCGCAGTGGCTAATGCCCACTCGCTGCAATGACGGCAATAGCCGAACCAGTGTGCGAAACGTATAGCCCGTACCCTTGTGCTTTGTCAACCCCAGCCTCTGGCGGCCTATGATTACTACGTGCCCGCTTGTTCGTGCTGCGTGTTAAAGGGGTGATACAATGATCCTTGTTTAGTTTCAGCAAATACCACGTAGAGTCAATCTCTAACGTTCATAATCTCCGAAATACGCGTTGGCTTCCTCTCCGGGCCATGGCGGTCACAGAAAAAAAGATTGATATAAATGAGCAGCGTTCACCTTCTCAACTCGCAGCGAGAAGAAGCGGCCACGTGATATGGAGCGAACTTTTATTTTTATTTTTACAGAGTGCACATCAGAAGAAGGGATAAGAGTATTGAGGCAGCGTACCATGCAGTTGACGAGTACATGTTTCATGTGGAGGAATTCTACTCCAAGCTGTCCCTCGACAAGACTGTCACTACGAAGCGAGTGTTCCTCGCCACCGACGAGCCCAAGGTTATGGACGAAGTCGAAAGAAAGTGAGTTAATTCGTTCGCCATTACCGTTGCTTCATAAAACGTCTTTCTTGGGGGACGGTATCTCGCGTGCATCGATAATTCGGTGACACAATTCATAAATCAATATCCCGAATGAAACATGCTCCAAGTTTCGCTCGTCACACACATCTTCTGTGTTTCTGTTCTGATAAGAAAAAAAAAAAAAAACAGGTACGATTTGTCAGATTCCCATATGGTATACATGCTGCAAGCATGGTGTCACAATTCCTTTACGCGGAGCGAAAGTTCGTCCTCCTCTTGCGCAGGGGTTCCAGTGACGTCATAACGCCGAGCTTTGATTGCGGCTTTGATATAAGGATAGTGGGCAGACCTCAATGCTAGCTGCCTCGAGGTTTACCCACTGTCCTTCCAATCGGAGCCGATCAGAGCTCGGCTTTATGACGTCACTGGAACTCCTGTGCAAAAAGCAGACGATCCTGCGCCCCGCGTAGTCCCTGACTGCTTAAAGAACGCATGGCGCGGCGAGTTCTCAGCATCGTATTATTGCTCTTCAGCCAATCAGGTTGCAGCATCAGCTGATTGGAATGCCAAAGGACCAATCAGGAGGAAAGGAGCGTAAACATGATATGCCGTGCTCTGCGTTTCTTTAAGCTGTGGCTATACTTGGTACTATGCAGAAATGACAAACGTTAAATGGTTTCTAGCTATTTTGAGCGGGAGGGCGCCACGAAGGCGCGTGGCACGAGAGCGCAGAACAACAGCTGTAGTCACTAAGGTGCGCTTTCCCGTAGCAGACTTCTATCGAATTCCCTTCTGTAGTAACTGGGCTGTTATTCATATGATTATGCGATGATTATTACCCAACACTGCACTATATGTGAGTACAGCTTCATATTTCGTCATTTATCATAGGAACGAACGGATTGATTTCTAGCGCGTTCCAAATTCGACGTTATCCCGTCGTTTGGCGGAATTAAACGTTATAATGATATAACACCTGAGCGCACGGTAGGCTCCTGTAGCCTATACCGTGCGCTCCAGTGCAGTTCAGTAGCTGGCGGGCAGACTTGTACGTAATCCTTTACAAGTAACGAAATTAGTAGTAATCCCTTACATTTATCAGTAATTTAGTAACGGAATAATTACATATTGACTAAAGTAATTTTAAAGTAATTGCCTTACATTACACTCGTCAGTTCCGCAAAGCCTTTTTTCGCAACAGCAAGCCCCCGAATTTATTTTTCTTTTTAAACCCTAACAACACTTTAAAAAGTCCAAATAAACATTTCTACAAAAAAAGAAAAAAAAAAAGAAAAGGGGGGGGGGGCAAGTTATTTCCGATTTTATTTTTTAGTCCCTTGGTTTTTTCTTTGCGATCGAAGACGGGGAGAGGAGGACACCAAGTGATTGTGCGCCTCTTCGAGAAGCTCGAGGTGGTAAGTACACTGAAAAGAATTAACAATGTCATAATGTCACAACACGAGACAACGCTCCGTCGGCGTCTACCCTACCCTTTTTGTGAGTCAGCTTTTTGCGAGCACTTAGAAAATGGTAATAGTCTTCCTTTCTTCCTCTTCCTGTTTTGCCCCAGCAGGACGCATCTTATCTCGAGCAGATATTTTTACAAATAAAACATAATGGTGGCTGACGTAAACTTGATACTCTGGGCTTGAGGAGAGAGTGAAATTCGTGAGTGGGGCCATAGCGCGGCTTACTTAGTTCTCTACCCTTTGCCGCCCGTGGCATCAGCGGACGTCTATCTGGAGAACACCGGAGTAAACCGCGGTCGGTTCGTGCTCCGTGCATTTTTGAACGGCACCAAGAAAGGTACATACGGCAAACGTGCGTTTACATTTCCTTGCTTTAACCAACGTTCTAATTAATTGTTTTTATGAGTGTCCTTTTTCTTTTATTACTTATATTTATATACTGGAAACATTCTTTTATTCACCAACGTCTCAAGTGAGGCTCGAACTGTTCAGAACCAAAGGAAGAAGAATATCGAGCCATACCATATTTATTATTTAAATATCACCTTACTGTTACAACTATGTTTTGCTATTGATGACTTCCACAGCTTCGGGATTTACACAATGGAGAATTTTAGTGGATCGGTCCGATGACTCCGATAACGATATCCGATACTTCGCCGCCGTCTATGCGCATGCATCATATCGTTATCGGGTACCGTTTTCGCGGGTATCGGAGGAATAAAAGGATCTACTAAATCTCGAATAGCAGGAAACGGCTGCAACGACGAAGCTTTGCTCTACATTCGAGGTAAATAGTGCTTCCCTTGCTTCGCTGAAAAAGCTCAATGCAGAGCATGAAGCATTCGTGAGGAACAATATGGCACTCCCATCCAGTGCCTCAACTCAAATGGTGTTCAGCGTAGCAGTCGACATATTGAGTAAGAAATAACGCAAAATGTCTGACGAGACTTTCGAGAGCCAGCTGTTGCTCAAAATACTCAAGGTCGTTAAATGGAACGCGTTGCAACAATAAGAACTTTAATAGCCCTCTTCCCTTTGTCCCTTACTTGAGGACAATAATGTTAAAAGTAACGCCCCGAAAGAAACGGATTACTTTTTGGGGTAACGGTCAGTTACTTTCATGGGAGGGTAATTGTAATTGTAATAAATTACAATTTAGCCTTGAGTAATTGTAAATGTAATTCCTTACTATTTTTCAGTAACGTGTACAAGTCTGCTGGCGGGTGTCCCTTGGGAAAGGGGGGGGGGGGGGGGGGGGCGAGAGAGGGAGGGAGGGAAGAGCCTCGAAGGAGGAGCGAGGCCACCTACATTCGCGTAGCGAAGAATCTGAGCAAGCTATAGTTGAAGGGTGCTACCATATAAGTGCATATGCTCGACTACTTCCGCGATGTTTCACAGACATTCGGTATTTCAATGTTTTTTTTTCGTTTTTTTTTTAAATATAATATAGAAAGGTAATCGATAAAGTACTGTATCTTCAAAACTCCGTGTTAAGTAACGAAGGATTTTGTTTGTAATAAGTAACATCTCTTTTAGAAAAGCTTATCTTCCTATAGTTGCGTCGGCATTGTTTATTTGTCTGTTTATGTTTGTGTCGGCATTTTTGGGCGTTTGCTCGCAGACTCGCGGGCAGCCGAGGGGCTCGGTGGAGATGAGTAGGACCCCGGTCGTTAAAAAAGAGAAGGGGGTTCAGTTTGGGGCGCCGGAACACCCCTGTCTTGAGCAGCGGCACTTCTGTCCGCACTTGTCGATTTCAAGCAAGCGTGCTTGTGTCCGGTGTATTTCGTCGTTTAGTGTAGAAACTTCGCTTTTAATCGACGCAATAACTTAAGTGGGTGGCGCCAGCCTGGCGGCGAGGAAAGCATGTAGAGACTCTACAAGGAATTTGGTTTTGTCCGTTGAGGTGTCGGAGGGGGATCACGTTGACAGCTCGCTGATCATTGGGTAAGAGTGTACCACGTGACAATGGGCAAATTTGAAGTGATTGGTCCGTCTCTGGAAGGAAAGGAGGCCCCTACGAGTTTAGAAAACGGGTGCCGAGAGGATTCTCAGAAAATTCGGCTTTTGAGATCGGGGAGATTCGGCTTTTGAGGCTGGGGACTAAAGTATGGGTTTTAATTTTGGGAGTTTTGTATTAAAAATTACCGTTGACCTGTTGTCGTCTTGTTTTGAAATAAACGTGGCCACACCAGTCATCGTAAGCCAACCAACGTCGTAATATGTCCAGCGGGATCGAACAACTTTTACTTGAGTTTTCTTTTTCCTATTCGACTTCCCGGGGGACTTCCATCGGGCGAACACCATCCTCGGTCGTCACCATCCTGGCCTCGTCATCACCTTTCCCTTGGAAATTTGACTTTCCGTATCCTGCTTCTTTCAAGTTTGCGAAAATTGTATTTCGTGGATTTCCCATAGGGTCTGCCTCTCAGCCAATGAAATGATATCGGGCGTTCGAAATGCGACCCCCTTCGGTGTCAAAATTTCAGCTCCGTGAAAATATGTTTGCGTGCTCCAATATCAAACAATCGCAAGACGCGCACATGCGCTCTAACAGGGAGTGTTCGTAGACCGCGCTGCCCCCTCCGCTAAGAGTTCCGCAATGAAGAAGTTGCTACTGCGCCTGCGCGCCGATAGCCTTGACTGTGGAGTTCCCGCTATCGTAGCGGGTTGCGGAGGGCTTTTGCGGGACGGCGAAACCGATCTACGAAAACTCCCTACTATCTACGAAAACTCCCTAATGACGCGCGCTCTCATGTCGCGGCGCTCTCTTGTCGTGCGCTCATGGTGTCGTGGTGCCGTCCTGCCGCTCGCTCTCAAGCCGGCACTCCAGTGTCGTGCGCTCTCGTGTCATACAACCACTTTAAGGAATGCTCAAAAGTTTTGATGACGTGCAACGCCACTTTTGTTTGCTGCGTGCACTCTGTGAAAACTGTATAACCTTATCTTTTTTACCGTTCCATAACGCGACACTTTTGACCCGGAAAACGTACCGCCGTTTTCTTTTCTTCTCATAATCCAGGGGATGTTATCAATATTATCCTGGTTTCTTCCGAAGCTCATACGCAGCCGACGTCACGAGCTGATGGTACCCATCAGCAGCAGACAGCGTCAAAAGGGCACCATCGTGGTGTTCGCCATTGTTTCTGTGCGTGTTCTACCATCCCTCAACCAATCATGAACAGAAAGGGCCCAGTGGCTTCTTCTTTTAGCGCTGCTTTCCTGATCCGGTTAGGTCGTCGCGTCAGATGCGTCTAGAGTTAAGCTGAAGCGAACTTGTAATGGAAAGTAGTCATTCGATACACTGAAATAAGATGTGAAAGCTCATGCTCGCCAACACCCTTTCGAAGTAAACTACAAAAACGTCCTTATGTTGCGTTCGCGCTAGCAGTGTCGCCCAGTGTACGTGTATGTTTTTCTGCTCAGTATTCGAAGGTTCGGCTATGCGGGGTTTGTACTTACAAAAACGAACTCTTTATATGTTTCCAAAAGAAGCGGTTTAACTGCTGCAAAACTTGTGATTTTTAATGGCAACTGCTGGTCATTAACAAACACAAATCAACGGCTGGGGTAAAGGGTTTCTTGTATAACTGAAACGCAATTTATTACTTTATTTTATTTTTTAAACTATACGACGAAGCACCTCAACTGAAGATATCTCGCACCTTTATGGAGTTGAATATTATGGCATTTTTTTTAAAGACATATCGACACCATTGTTTGACAGAACAAAATATACGAACACTCTTACATGGAAAAAAAAAATTACTTGCCTTCAAGAAATACCTTTAAAAGTTATTAATATTAGTTTTAGATATATTCTTCCGTTCTTTTTTGTTTTGAACGTGTAATCAATATTACAAATAGGACTGTTCATAAAGTGATCTAAAAGTTGCCTTCTAAGCGCTCACGTAATCCGCAGATTTCCGGACTACGAAGTGATTACCAACAAGAGGTCGTCACGCAAGGCCGCGGAGCGCAGCAGGTCGACGTTCTTCGATGCCCTGCTCGATCTCCAGTTGCTCGCCGACTCCGACTTTCTCGTCTGCACCATGTCGTCAGGGGTGAGCGAAACCCTGCAACAAATATAAAGCCACACTCACACCACTCCTACATCGTATAGAAAACAACAACACAAAGTGGACACCAGACGTGACGACAAAATTATCGGCGGATACTCCTCAAGTATTATTCGAAGCACCTTTCCGGAGTAACGAGGATCTGAATATTGTCATGTTGACGTTATTCGAATATATCTAATGACGTTATTCGAATATATCTAATGACGTTATTCGAATATATCTAATGACGTTATTCGAATATGTCTAATGACGTTATTCTAATATATCTAATGACGTTATTCGAATATATCTAATGACGTTATTCGAATATATCTATTATATTTTTACGCTAGTACTGTGTGAGCACTTGGCTCGGGCTCGTGACAATCAATGAAGAGTTTTAGAATAGGGAGCCCCAACGCTTTAGGGCCCCGAAACAGCTTGGGGCCTCGCACTGCGCATGCGCAGAACTTCTGCGCTTGCGCATTGCGAAACACCAAGCTGCTCAGGGGACCTAATGCTTCCCCCCGTTATGAGCATCTCTAATGCCTTGACGAGCATTCGGGTAGCGGCTCTTGATAAATTGCCGTAGTGAGTGGAGCAGCCGTACCATAACAATGTCTGGAAACTCGGACGTGTAGTGTGCTTTGCCCACCCCGCGCGGCTACAATTAATATTGACAGCATATAATAAGGATTTCGTGTTTTCGGAAGGTGCTTTCCGGAGTTTATAATTCGCTGAACATTTTGGGTATTTTTGAGTGGTTGATTCTTTGAAATTCAGAGCTTATTTGGTAGTGTTAATATATCTTTAAAAAAAATTCAAAAACAAAATAAAGTCCAGGTACCATATGACCCGTCATCGTGAAGGAACCTCGACATGCTAAAAGGTGAACCGTTTTTGTTTTAGTTCGATATTTTCAAGGAAACTGAAGTGCCATCTCATTAGGACTACTGACCCTGTGCTTTTAGAAAGATTATTAGTAAAACGCTCTATATTTTGCTTTTTTTAATTTTTTTTTTGTTGTGACCTCGAAAAACCGTATCAGTGCAGTTTTCACGGCCTTTTCTTAACAAATCTGTGTAGCCTAGAAAAAAAAAAAAAAAAAAACTATTTCAGGCATGTAAACTTTTATTATATGAGAGGATGATCATCGAGATTAGTAGCATAATTGACTAAAATATTTTAATTAACATATTTTTATTTGGTTCGATGGGCCATGTGCTAGTAAAGTTTCAACGTGGCAGTCTTATCAGAGATTAAATCATTTTAAACAACTTGCGATAAGGCGAGACGCTTAAAGATATTCAGCGACCATTTTTCGCGTTTCTGCATCCCCATACAAAACCGGAAGCAGAATGAGTACCGGAAGTCCCGAGCAGATTGTAGAGTTTTAGTATGGAGCAAAACTTAAGTTCTGTGCGTTTGCGTAAGCGCTGCGTCTAAACCTATTTCTTTTTCCAGTCGATCAAGAACAAATTAAAGAAGGGAAACTGTAATTAGCACTGAATTTATGAGCGCATCTTTTAAATATATTGCTTCGCTGAAAAGCGGTCAACGCGTTGTTTACTCTTGTCACGAGAGCATGAGAGTTGTCCCGTGCACGCGCAGTCAAAGCACGACGGAAGGCAGCCAGCGGGTTCTGGTGCGCAGGGCGTTCGAAAGAGACGCCCTGCGCATTTGGTCCTGTCTGTGACTGAAAACGTGCACAGCTATAGTGCAAAAACATTTCATTGGCATTCTGCATGATAGATATTTTGATAGGAGATGCTTTTACGACTATGAATACATACTGAATGAACTCTCGTTACAAAACTCGTAAAAAAATAGAGGATTGCACGTCACATTTTGTTTTTGCACAAAGTAGTTCGCAACCACTTGGATTGTGATTTGGTATCGCCATTGAAGGTTTTTGCGCTGGCTCGCGTCACTAGAGGCTCACGCAGTTTACACATATATTCATTCTGAACTGTCACCACCGGTAAGAATGCAAATTTGTTTAAAGAAAAGCTAAAACAAAGCTAAAATAAGACGAGGTAGAGGTGAGCTTTAGAGTATTCTTGTCCCATGACAGAATATCACGTTCGTTTTCCCCGAAGATGTAACTAAACACAAGAAAACACGAAAAACCTCCACCCAGTCCTTACGTCATAAAAGGATCTTTGGGCCGCCAAGAGCGTGTCCCTCGTGTGGGCACCGCGTGTCATTGCAAGCTTGCCAGGTATATTCCCCCGCACTGACACCATGTCCTGGCCTTTTTTCCTGCCATTTCTGAAAATAATATGAGTGCGCGTGCATATCTTTGAGAGCCGCTGAAGATGCGCTCGAGAGGAGATTCCGAAAACTCCTTTTATGACGTAACGCTCGGGGAACCAGGGGCTTCTGCGATATTTTGAGTATTATTTTCTCCAGCCTCTGCTCGCCAAATCGAAAAACAATCTCGATATCCGTGAACCTGTAGGCTAAATGAAGACGATTTAGATGTTCTTTACTGGCATGCAAAACCTCTTCAGTTTCCCTCGAAAACATGACGCCTCATGTTGATGTATTTGCAGATAATACGGTGTGCAATTTCGTCTGCTTCTTGGGCACCTCGTGCCTCTGTTCACCCTTCAAGTGCGCCCACGTGCGTTAATTTGTTTACCCGCGGACTTTAGCCAGTGACGGTGCATGCGAGTTGGTTGCCTGGTCATCGCGCCCACGCGTTATCTCTAATGCCCGTTGATGGGCGTGCCCCTTTTCGAGTTCCGATGTGCCAAAGGAACATTTTTAGAACACTTGCTCGCCGTATGGTCTCTTCAGAAACAGCTTGACGTAGATCTTTTCAATTTCTTCTTGCGTGGAATTGCGATGCGATGGAGTATACCTTGTTGTGATGTAGTATACTCTTTGTATGCGCCACCTGGCACATACAAAAAAACTTACTGGATGTTCTGGAGTACGAGACAAGGAAATCATTATTATCACTACGATCATAGTAAAAAACCGCGTTGAATTTCTATCCAGCACTCTAAGAAAAAAGATGGTCTAAAAGGACTAACGGCAGATTTTGGTCCTCTGAACTCCCATTTTCTCCGCGAAGAAACCATCTGGTTCGAGCTAGGTACCGTGCGCAAATGCTGAGGATTAAATGCACTCGACCGGTACTAACCGAAAGACGCACGGGAGAAAAAAGCCGCCGCGGACAAAAGCGCGGGAGCTAGAGCGCGGGAGAAAAAGACGCGCGGACAAGATGGCGGCGTCTGCTGCATCGGCGATGGCCAGCGTTAGCGACGCACTTACTGTTTCGGAAAGCAGGGTGAGGTATCCACAGACAATCGTAGCATCAAACATTGCAGGAGGGAGCCTGGTTAAGGGTTGAAGCTGACTTTATAACGATCTCAGCCTCTGTTCCAGCACGTCGTGGAAGCTAGCGCTGACTCAAGCGCCGCCATTGTTGATGCACTGGCCATGCCGCGTTTGACCGTTGTCCTGGGGTCCTTTCGATTCGCATTCTTTTAAACGTGCTTTGAAAGCGTTTATATTTTCTTCTTGGTTTAACTGAGATGAAAATAGCCACGTAGCACGTGGTAAAACGTTTCCAAAGGCCAGAAAAAAAAAAAAATAGATTCCTTCTGGTTTTTTTTCTTTGTGTATTCTTTAGAATCTATGCAATGTTGTTTTTTCGCAACAGACGATGCGGTTGCCACGGAGACGCGCATGGGCGATGTAGGACAGTCTATGCGGCGAAGCGAGAACATGGTTGCTGGGAGCCTATGGGGACGCTGTTTTATAGACTATCGCAAATAGTTACTGTGTGTACCGTTACTCCTTAGTTAGAGATACACTCCTTAGAAATTTTAGCAACAATATTGGTGCGAAAGCAGCACCATATTTCTAACATCATTCACGGTTGAGATGGTCACTGACAAAACGACTCCTTTCATATGATCAGTATATAAAAGGCGCGTGGGTAGGCTTTAGGGTGGTGATTGAATTAGCGTGTCGTCGCGTGTTTGTCCTCGCGTGTGTGTTGTGCGTGCATGCTGTGTGTGTGCTCCTGTGTTATAATTCCTTGTCTGCGTTAAAATGTACAATACGTGTACAAATGTGAGATAAGCGTTGTTCATATGTGAATGTAATGAGCGTGCAAAAGATCTACCCCAGCGGTACCATATTTTTTAACATTTTTTAGTTTGACGTTGACTAGCGCCACCTGGGTGCGTAAGGGTGCAATTTAGTAATAAATAAGGTAAGGGCGCAAAATTTAGACCCAGTGGCCTAAATGCAAGGGTGCAAAATTTAGTCCTGAGTGTTCAACTTTGAGGGACTAACGAGAGGGGAGCAAGGGTTTCTCCCGTTACTGTTGCTCACTTAGGGGACCAATGGTTGTGGCAGCGCGTTTTCTCCCTTGAGGGAGAAAGTCACGCTCCTTTTTTTCTTAGAGTGAAGGCGTATCAAATTCCCTTTGCAGTTTTGCCGGGTGGCCTACGAACTGATGCAAGTCCGCCATCCTGACGCGTCGCTCAAGACCGTGTCTCTGGACGTGGAGTACTTCTTCGCCTTCGTGCCTTTCCCGCCCAGGAAGACGCTCGACGAGAACAGGCCCGCGCTACCGCACGAGTTGGGCTGGTCGGGCAAAGGGCAGCTGATCGAAGCGCCGGGCAAGTACGTTGCCGTGGACGAGGCAATGAAGAAGAAATTTGCCGATGGGTTCAGCATGGGCCGTGTACAGGGACGTGCGACCAAAGACGCGCTGTCCGTGTTTCCCAGGTTCAAGACGACGCAGACGTACAGTGTGGCCGACTACGCGGCCTTTGCCGCGCCTCCGTCGCAAGCCTAACGCCGCACTCACGCTGCTCGTGTACGTCACACAAAAGACACGGTGTTTCTCTACAGATGTGGAGAGAGAATTATCCGCGGGTGCGCGCCTCAAGAACTTTCGAAATATGTGTTCTCCGTACATCTGTAGGTTTCGAAGTTGTGTGCAAACTGGTTTGTACAACCATAGCCTCCTATATGCTGACAAAGCCTGGCAGATCGCCACGAGAAGCGGCCGCCGAAATGGAAAGGCTGGACCGGCGGACAACGGATGGGAGGAGAGCCACGTGACTCGCGCCCCGCTGCGGCGAGACGCCGAAACGCATTTCTCCCGAGCGAACAAGCGTGTTTCGGGTCCTCGCTGCTGCAAGAGCTGTGCGCTGACGTCCAGGTTCCCCGAGAAATGACTCTTTGATGCTCTGTGCTACCAGATACCCGCGCCCCTAATCTGCGAGCCGGGCACTCTATGGCTCCGTCGTCGAAATGCCAGGCTTTGACCGTCATACGCACGCCCTTCAAGGCAGCATTTAGGTTCATTCATCCCATTGCGTGCCCCTTTAAGTAAGAGGATTGCAAACCAAGAATCTGACGTGTAAGGCTGGTTCATATATTTGCCTTTGACTGTGTCCAACTGCGTTGCAGCCGCTTGTTGCAGCATCCAATGGGGGAATACTCCGGCGCCATCCGTCGGATACTCGTGGAACTGATCCGATCTGCGTACATTTTACGTGTCGTTTTCTCACCGTGTGCTTGATACAATTCTGACAACGACATAAGCCAACATTTCTTATGTTTTGTGGATTTGATCAGTTATACGCGAAACGGAGTTTTTTAGGTATTCCCGATAGATGGCGCCAGCCCATCTATTGGGTCGCGCCCGAACGCGATTGTGTGAACCAGCGATTAAATTTGGGTGGTGCTCGTATCATGCAGGGTTGACAATAAAAGTTGGGATGATTTAAATAGTCACTCAAGCACACCTGTTTTACAGTCATGCTTTTAAAGAAAACCTTTCCAGTGATTTAAATCAATGATTCAAATTAAATTAACATAATATTAAAGATGAGTGAAATCAAATAAATTTGAATAATTTATTTAATTTTAAGAAATACGTGATCTTTTACCACCCTGGTATGAGGAGAGCATGACTGCCTCAATTTGAGTTCCACAAGGACCTTTGTTAACGCTACTGTCATACCTTTGTTATGAGTTACTGGGTGTTAGAGCTACTGCGTGTCATACCTTTGTTACGGAGTGTCATACCTTTGTTAACGCTACTGAGTGTCATAGGGGGATATCCAAATAAAATTAGAGTAGGTTGTTTGTCCCCACAATATTTTGTTTCTACGAAAGTCACAATACAGTAATAAATACATATATAAGTTTAATGGATTCATTGCCCTTCTATGGCGTTTTCCAGTCGAATTCAGGCTTCTCTTGTCAACATAAATTTGAACATTAATGGTGCGAGTTTTTCAACTACCTTTTTTTGCGGCAAGTCGCTTGACGTGAGGTCTTCTCTTCGTGCGCTTCTGATGCATGTATTATTTTGAGTATCGTTTCGACCGTTTCATATTTCCCACTTGTTTGGAGCGAATTCGTTTTCGGGGCGCACTTCCTCTGAGAGTATTATAATGTGGCAAACAAAACAAAAAAAAAACAAAAAAAAAACACTAATATTGAATGTTCTCCGATCAGTTACAGTGAAAGAATGAAATGAGCTTGTAGTTGATTAAAGTAAAACACAAACCCAGGCTAGAAATAAACGACTGTCACAAGTGATCCAGCAAAACGTTTTCATTTACGACTGGTTCACAGATTTGCATTTGAGTTCAACCGATTGAGTTACCACTCATTACAACGAAATGAGACATTGGCGCCATCTATCGGTGCATCTGGAACACTTTCGAACCGAGTTGGGGTTTCGCAGTATTTGGTACTGCAGTACTAGAATATATTGCAGTACTCGGCAGCATTGTAGTACTAGACTCAAGGTTTCGCAGTATTTTGAAAACCAAATGTGGGCACTTCTCGTGGTGTTTCCTCCGGGAGTGGTTCTTCTGATGCATAGCAAGTCGCTTATAATATCAATGTCAAAATTATTTGAACTCCATGGTGAAAAATTATGATATTAATGTGGTTGTTTTTAAAGATAACTAAAGTCTGTAGTTCTATATCCTGTAACATTTAGCAGGTGCTGAACCGATTAAGGGCCCGATTTCATTGAGTGTACTCAGTTTTTTTTCTGTTCGGCGTCTTTCTTATAGGGTACGTTAACGCAAAAGCGCCGACCCAAATAGTAACAAAATTTGCGGCCAGTGAGTTTCGCTAAAGAAGGCGATTTTTGCTTAATCTGAATTAAGATAAACTGATACGCACATCGTATCAAATTAGAAAGAACAGCAAGGTAAACACAAACGCCTAAAGATGGTCATCCGACTTTTTAACTGTTTTCTTTTCGATGTATGCAACACATATCCGGTAGTCATAGCAGTGTTGGGCGAAATACTCGATAAAAGTATTTAAGTTAAGTTACTAAATACCTGCTTCATAAAGTATTTAAAATACTACTCAAATTACCTTCACTGTAAAGTATCTTGAGTGGAGTACATATACTTAGAAATATAATTCAATTACTTTTGAAGATACTTCCGGATTGCGTAATTTGTATCGACGTCAGTGTCAACAAAAATTATACAGCTGCTCAAATCTGGTTTATTGGCACGCAACAACACAAAACGGGGAAAAATAGTATCGTAGGGCTATTTTATGCAGTCCAACTATAAGGAGCAGGATATTGTCACGAATGACAAATGATGAGGCGGCGAATAACTGGCGAAACTAAACGTTTCAATGGGGCGAAGTTGTGCCCAAAACAAAATAGAGAAAGGCTAGCATTGCAGGCGTCGATGTCGGCGAAACAGCAGGATCGAGCGCTGGGGCGAGACTGAGACCGGGCCGCCACTCAGAGCACCTTTTGTAATTGCGTGGGGTTCCTGGAACATTCGGCGTAGAAAGTTTGGCGCGCAGAACATTCGTAACTCGATCAGACGACAATGTTCTCGAACTTACGAGAATGTCAAGTTGAAAGAATAAATGTAAGGAGAGTCCACTTCCTAGGTATCGAACCCGCAGCCTCCGCGCGAGAGCCAAGCGCGGTAACCATTCGGCTATGCGCTCGCTGGGCAACGCGCGTGACAATATCACTGATAGACGTTACAAAACATTTCTGGGACAACAATAAAAAGGTCGCTTTAGCTATTGGGGAGGAAATCAGACCGTGGCGCTCCAAGCGGTTAGCTTTAGAACTACATGGATGGGGACAACAAATACAATGACTCAGCGCTCGGCTGAATTAACCGAACGCGGCGTGAGCGTTCGGCTGGAGTTCGTGTTCTCCGGTGAGGGGGAGGAGAGGTCGTTTTGTTCGATCTCCGGCCTGCATGAACAATGCAGCATGCACGGTGCCAGCTCCGCACAAAAGCCAAGTGGGTCAAGCTCGCATCGTCTGACTGCTTTCGGGGGAGATCCGTTTCTTGTACTGTTCTCTGCTTATTAATGTTCACTTACAGACACTGTTCGCTAAAGCAATAAGTGACACTGACGAAAAAAAAAAAAAAAACTTCGACGTTTTGTTTTAGCGGAATCACAAAAGAAAATTTACATGGTCTTTTTTGCCGAAAAAATAAACTAGGCATCGCCGAACGCTCATTCTTTGCCCAAATGTAGCGCTAGAGGTCACAACCAGATGCCAAAGTTTCAGCCCGATCCGATAACTTAATCAAAAGTTATAACTGATTTTCTGAAAATTTAAATGGGAAAATGGCGGCCGACGAAGTTTTCGAGCGCATGGGACTCTATTGTACCAGAAACCGAAAACGGGCAAAAATGGGCTCCATTTTCCCATTTTCCCCAAAACGACGAGAGGACCGGCTCGGCTGGTCCTCTCGTCGTGTCCCATCGTCCGCCCGTCAGGGTCTCGCACGTTTCGCCGGTCTGGCCTTTACGCAGCTCTCGTTAAAGGGGTACTTCGGCGATCTCTTCATGGTTTCCGATTTGCCTGAAAACTTCTGAGCAAACCAACGAATATCACTGAAATAGTATCCCAAACATTAGGTCAAAATAATTTTTTTGCGAATTTATTGAATTTACAGTGTTGGTCCTCACCCTGTTTTTCCAACTGAAACTCTCCACTGGCAACAACGAAAAAGTGACGCCAGTTGAAGGCATGGGTTTACTCTGACTTCAAGCAGTTTCATGGTGTCAAATAAGTGCTAGTGAAGCTCGCTCCAGTACCCGCGCACCAGCCCGTAACAAATGCTCAACATCGTCCATTTTTTAGACTGCTTGCTCAACTGACAACCCTGCCATCCACTCACGTCACTGCACCGAAATGTGCGGGTTTATTTGAATGTTGGTTCTTGCAACACTGTCATTTGCCGATTTCACAATAACTGTTACGAGTTTCGCGAAGCTAAACAGCATACCGGAAAGGGCAAACGCCGGAGATTCAGAAAATTGTAGTTAGTTGGGGACACCTCAATAAAATCGCCGGAGTACCCCCTTTAAACTTACCAGACCGAGCGAGCGCAGTACTCTGGCGCGCACGGCTGACGCGTCCGCTCCTAGAGGTTTGTCTGGTAAAACGTTCGGGGCGCAGGACGTCGCTGATCGCGGTCCGTCGTCTGCCCCTCGGTTCTTCGACGCCACGGCCTCGCCCGCCTCCACTTCGCTTCGCTCACGCTAAGCCTACCGGAGGGAAGCGAGAACCCATACGACCGACCATCCAACTCGCATGTGACAGGGTCACGTGCACTCCATGTGGGTGCAAGTATCGCATGAACTCTTTATGGCTGGGCATCTAAAGAGTCACGTGACGCCCTATCTGTGATGCAAAACGACGTGACGACGTCGACGACGTTAGGAGATCGCGAAAACTGTGCCTAAGGCAGGTCTTTGCTGCCGAATGCCCGCGTCTTCTGCAGTGTGCTGCGTTCGGCTGTTTCTTGATGCCGAGTGCCA